GCCTTGGGCAGGGAGTTGAGGTGCAGGAAGAGGTTCAGGATGCAGGCTCTGGGAGGGAGTTTGGGTGCAGGGGGACTCAGGACTAGGGCAGGGGTTTAGGATGCAGGAGGGGTTCAGGATTGGGGCTGGAGTTCAAAATGCGGGCTCCAGCTGGGCATCACTTACCACAGGTAGGTTCTGGGTGGTAGTGCTTGGGGTTAAGGCAAGCTCAGCCCTACTCTGGCCCTGAACCACTCCCAAAAGAAGTCAGCAAACTCCCTCCATCCCTGCCCCCCCTTCCCCGTGGATATAGGGTAGAGGTTGGGGGGATGGGCACCTTGATATCAGCATTCTCTCCTCTCCTTTCTGTGCCCTGCACACCAAGCAAGAGGCACCCGGGCTTGGGGGGCAGCTCCAAGGCAAAGGGCAGGAGCAGCACTGCAGTGCTGACAAGGGCAGATGAAGTGCCAGCACTTGACAGCCTCCCAGCCAAACCTGTGAGGATCATCTGTCAAAGGCTCCAAAATCCACCAGCAGATCCCGATCTACTGGTTGGTGACTACTGGATTAGAGCCTCTCTGCTGTGTGTCTCCCTTGCCCAATCCTTGCTCTGCAGAGATGGGAGTACAGGGGCAGGGAGACATCATGACATAGCACTCCCCTCCCCCCTTCAACCCCCCCCTGGGAGTAGCCTGGCTGCAGAACCAAGCAAGGTGGGGGGAGGGGCAGTTGAACACACACTGCCAACTATGCATGCTCTGCTAATCAGCTGGGCAGGCCAAAGAGAAATTCTTGGTGGGCCGGATTCCAGCCCTCTGCCTAATTTTGTCCACCCTTGGGTTACTGGCATGCTTATGGGATAACCAGTTAACTGGAGGGCTGGGATCATCTCCCTGCCCACCTGCTTGCAGTGCAGTTAGGGTTACCAGATGATTTCAAAAAAATACCGGACACACTTGATCTCAGATGGGGGTGAGGACCGGCAGGGAGGGGAGCGGGGCCGGCTGGGAGGAGGTCGGGGGAAGTGGAGATGCCCAGGGGAGATTACGGGGGGAGAGAAGGAGGAGGGAATTGCTGGCAGGAAACAAGGCTGGCTGGGAGGGGATTGGAGGGAGTGGAGCTGGCTTGGGGGGGAACTGGGTGGCGGGAA